AATATTGTACTATCTAGTATCAAAACCTGTGTTCTGTGGTTACAACAATATCTATGGTTCAGTGTTAAAACAAAAAAAAGATATATATTTATTCATTCTCTCTGCTCAATCGTCGTTTCATTACAACAACTTTAAATGTTACTTCCATACATCACTATCACAATCGCTATACCTTCGAAAAGTGTTGCGATAGATTTGAAATTTGGCAATTACCCCTTGTTTCTATACTCGGTGGAACAGAACGACCGACACTCCCGAGGTTCCTGGAGAGTACTATCTGTCTTTAATATGATGTAAAAAAAAATATAAGTCTAGGTCAAATAGTTTCGGAGATATTAAATCACAAAGTTTTTGAAAAAGAATGAGTGTTTTCAACCCTGAGTCAGCTGTTTTTGGGACGTACTAAGGAAAAGTTTTTAATCGGTCATTGACTTCTTCATTTCTAAAAACGAAATAAACTAGTTTGTGATTTATAAGACTGCTTTCATGCAAATTCTACCAGACAATCAATAAACAAGGCAGTCAAAATGCTTAAATCGATTTACAGACTAACAGCCGGTTTCTGATTTGAAAAAAGTAGAAAATTTCTACTGCTTATTCTCAATAACCTAAGTTTTTTTTTAATTTCACAAGTCAAATAGTCCTAGTTTTATCAAACTGCTATCAACTGATCATCAAAAAACTAAAATCGGAAACGAAAACTAAGTGATGTTAGTTTGAGACGTTTAACTTTAAATTCTCAATTAAGAAACTTTCTAAAATTTCCTAAATTATTGTAGAGAGATCAGTCTAACATTAACCTACGTTATTTTAAAAGTAGCAGTTCTCCAAAAAAATTGTTTGAATGGGGTAATACTCCTTTAACAACGGGATCGTTAATTAAACTCGATAAACTCACAAATCTTCCAGCGATTCATCATTAACACAAATGAACTTTGTTTTAAAAACATAGAGGAATTTGTTATTAAAATAGCATTTAAAAAGAACATTAAAAAATGCGTGATATCAAAAGACGAATAAAAAAATTGTGAACCGAGTTCGTCCCTCGATATCAAAGCCCCACCCGCCAGCCAGCCGCCAGGTGGCTTCATTTATTCTGTCGGTATTTTCCGGCCGCTCAGTCCCGCCCGCCGACCTTTTGCGCTGGAGTGTTGTTGCGCATCGCCGCCAACGCACCGCTGCGAAGCGTCTTTTTTGTCGATTTTTGTTTTGTTCTAGTGCATTTTTAATTGAATTTTTGTTAATAAGATACTAGAGTGTTCGTCTTGAGTGTTAAGTTTAGTTTAGTGAAGATTGTATTTAGTTTTGTGTGAAATGTGATGTGTTTTGCGCGTGCATGCGCGGCATTGAAAAGAGCGTGCTTAGCTCAGTCTTCAGGGAGGAAGTGGACATTTTCAGCATCGACTATCATTAAGATATCGGTAAATAATTAAATTAAATTTAATGTATTTCGCGGTTCGTTGTAATCTGCACACAATCGATATTGCGCATGCGTGTTATAGGGCTGTCAACACTTAGAAATTTAAAATTTTTACTCCATTTTTACACCTCCTCTATTTTTAAATATTTGTCAAATAAAATGAACGTTTGCATGTAACCTAACATGAAACTTTCGGCTGTGTCATTTTGTTCCTCCCAGTATAATCTTTTGAGTTTTAGTAGTTCCTAATATAGCAGTTTTCGTAAATAAGGCGAAAATGATAGAATTTTCATTTCATAATTTTAGGAATCTACAATTTTTAATGTGAAAGAAAACTTATTGGGCTGTAAAAACTTGTATGGAGTGCGCAGGGAAATTTATGATTACGGTTAAGGGCGTATTTACTTTTAAGTGTAAGAGTTTACAAAGGGATTAATACACGTAAAACCTTTACATTGTTCATAAACTTTCTGCCTTCTGTTTATATTCCTTTGAATTTCCTAATAATATTCTCGAAATTTGCAGAGCTTTCATACTATTGTTTATTGTTTAATATCGTTGGTGAAATACTTTTCATTATTTAGACCTGAAAACGCAACATTTGTTTAACCGACCTATTAGAAACCCTTAAAAAAGACAAAGTTTTTACTCCCACTGTAACCGAGTTTGCATATTGGTTTCAAGATGTCACCATTTTTTACATAACCGGTTCCAACTTCGAAAAAAATTAAGTAACAAAGTGTTCGAAAACGAATATAAATCAAATTTTAGTTTTGTTCTTGAATCATTAACAAAAATAATCATCAAATAACAAAACTAACGAAATCTATTGACAATCAAAATGAATAAAAGCGCAATATCCCCTCAAAACCAGAGCTTAGAATGTACTATTAAAATAAATTACCCCTTGAACCCACTAATGTGAAATAGTGGCGAAATCACACTAAAGTATAGATATGATAATAATTTCACTAGCCGGTAACAAAACTTATTAGGTTGGTAAAAGTGTTTTCGCATATAGAGGTAGTATCCATAAACTTCTAATAAAATCTTACTGGCTATCCTCTTGTATCTGGCTGGTTTCAGTATCATTAAAAAGTTTGAATTTTAAAAAATATAACTCCGAATTCAAAGGAGGAAAATATGTAGTTTTCATTTGTTTGTTTTACTGTCATAATAAATGAATCTAATGAAGAAATTTGATACAAAATAAATTTTATAACAAAAAATGTGAAAATGCATAAAAACCGCGAAAAAAATTTGTTACATTTAAACACAGTAGTGCAGTTTTTGTAAGAGTAGCACAAATTTGGTTTAAGCGTTTTCAGTCCGGAAATTTTGATGTCAAAGATGCACGTCGCTCCGTTGCGGGTACCTTGCTGCGGATAAAATGGAGCAAGATCCGCATATCTGTAGTTACGACACAGCTGAAGAAATGGACATTGACTACTAAACGCTGGGCACAAAAAAAGTTGTTTGTGTACCTCATGAAAGAAAACTAATGAGCCGTGTACTCATTTGTCATTACGGCGTAATGAAACCGAACCATTTTTGAAGAAGCCGATAAATGGTGATGATAAGTGGATCACCTATGACAAAAATGGGCGAAAAAGGTTATGGTCAAAGGTCGGTCAGGCTTCACAAAGTGTAGCGAAACCCGGGTGAACTCGCAACAAGGTGATGGTGTGTGTATGGTGGGATTTTAAGGGCATTCTTCATTCAGAGCTGTCACCGCCAGGCCTAACCATCGATTCTGATCAATAATTCGAACAAGTGATGAGATAGAAGCAAAAAGTTGAGAGAAAGCGGCCAAAATTAATCAATAGAAGGGCTTTGGTTTTTTATCATGATAACGCTAGACCTCACATATCTTTTGCCACTGAGCAAAAAGTAAGAGACTTAAACTGGGAGGTATTAATACATCCCCCGTATAGTCTTGACCTTGCATCTTCAGATTTTCACCTGTTTCGGTTTCTTCAGATAGAATTCTGAAAAGGCAATTCGTCGCGGTTTATCGCGGTTTTTTGATCAGAAGCCCCAAAAAGCGATGGGATCATGTCCCTACTTACAAGATGGCAATAAGTTATGGATCAAAATGGTACCAATATCCTTCAGTTAAATGTAAGTAAACATGATTTAAAAATGTTAAATGTTTTGTATTTTCATGCAGGCGATGATAAATCATTCGGAAGAGGTATTTTATAAATAAAGATTTATGCGACGCTTTGTAGCCGAGTGTTGAATTGGCAAATTTATTTTCTTTCTATCAAGGAGTTTTGATAAACTGTAATATGAATTAATAGTTTTCTTTAATATATAAACGTCGTTTTATCACAATTATAACAGCTTATTTGAACTTAATATCTTTGTTAAAAATCATTAGGCCCTCTTAAAATTAAGCGTCTGTAGGCCTACTCTGTTTCACGAAAAACGAAATTTCGTCCATTTTCGAAACACTAATATAACTCTAACAAAACCAATTTTTCGATCATGTATGATGAAAAAGAGGTAGAACCTAACACTGCCTCTGATGCAAAGACAATCTTCACGGATATTGTATCAACAAAATTATAAGAACGATCCGATATTTGTCGAATTTTCGTTCGTTTACAGAGTAGGCCTACTGACCACATTCACACACTTATATAAGATTTATGAAGTTTAAAACTACACTCTATAGAATGGTTCACCGGAAAGAGTTATTTTTGTTCCACATAGCAAGGGTGTGAGATAAAACCTTCCCTAGCCTCAAGGCAAGTCTCTGGAAAATGATATATAGAGGACGTATCCCCTTAACTACAGTGATTTTTCATATGAACTCTGTGTGCGTAATATCCAAATGGGTTTTACTTCTGGAATGCGAAATATGCTATGATAGGTACCTCAAAAAATAGCCAACATCATTTTCAACGTTACTATATATGACCATTTGGCAAGTGATTGTTGACTTGATACTTTTTGCATGCCAACAAAACTGATCTTCATAATAAGATATATTTTCATCACTCTATAATATTTGTTTTTTTCTTTAATATAACGAATTTATGTTAGATTCACGTTGTGATATTAATTTTTTGCGAGGCATTTTGCCTTTTAAAGCTACTTACGTTAAGCTAAAATCCTTTTGAATTTAAGAATGTTAAATAAAAACATACAAACATACATATAAGAGTCTGTAAAGTTAATGAAATTGAATAATCTTCATCTTCTGTTCGGAATATTTTTTATCCAATAGCATAGGTAGGCACCTATTTTGATACACAGAAGAACATCTTCAAATATCAGTTGGTCAATTTATCAGACGCTTATCCAATTTATAAAATAGCGGTCTAGAAGTCTATATTGGTGTTTTTGTTGTCTTGTAAAAATATAACGGACGAAATTATTTATTTAAGGCAATTTATTTTACGTTTATATTTGAAATGCAAAAAACATATCTTAAAACGTTAAGCTGTTGAAGTAATTATTACGAGTAATAACGCATAATTATTCATCATATCAAACATACGTTACACGGATAAGTATCATTTACATTTGAGTACTTATATTTATAACGATAACGTGATATAAACAGGTTTAAATTAATAATAGATCTCTCGAGAACAGTTACGAGTAGTATTGCTACTAACATGACTGTGTACGCATGTTTGAGTCTTGCTATCATACTGTTAAGTATTCTTTGCTTATTTTGTAAGAGAAAATTTAACTATTGGAGTGATAAAAATGTGAAAGGCCCTACACCGTGGCCAGTAGTTGGTAATTTTGGTAACGTTATGTTACAAAAAAAGTCAGTAAATCAGTGTTTAAAAGACATACATTTGAAATATAAAGGGGAGAAACTTGTAGGACTCTACCGTGGCTTCCAGCCAATGGTACTAGTGAGAGATCCAGAATTAATAAAACATGTATTAATAAAAGACTTTCATTATTTCCCAAACAGAGGAATGAGTACAAGTAGCAGTCGGTTAAGTGACAATTTGTTTAGTGCCGAAGGAGAAAAATGGAAATTAATGAGACAAAAACTGACACCAGTTTTTACAACACGAAAACTTAGGGATATGATGCCAATTATTCAAGAATGTATTGAAAATTTTTTGTTACTTGTAGATAGATTAGTTGATAAAAATGTCGATTATGAAATAAGGGAGATGACAGCAAAATACACTATGAAAATTGTAGTAAAATGTGCTTTTGGTCTGGAAATTGATACATATAGTAATGAAAAAAACGAATTCACAGAGATGGCTAAGAAAATTTTTCAACAAAGTTGGTCAAATCGATTGTTAACAGTTGTGGACATGATAATTCCTGGCATAAAAAAAGCTTTTGTTACAAGTACAGATATACAGAATTACTTTGTTGGTCTCGTTCGTGAAGTAGTGAAAGAAAGAGAAGGTAAGCCATCGGAACGTAAAGATTTCATGGATTTCATGATCGAATTAAAAGAACAAGGAAGAATCAGTAGGAATATTACAAATGGTGTGGCTGAAATAGAAATTGATGATTACATGTTAGCAGCTCAAGCCTTTGTATTTTATTCCGCTGGTTATGAGACATCATCAGCTACAATGTCTTTTATGATTCATGAGCTCGCATTAAATCCACAAATCCAGGACCGCGTTTATGAAGAAATTTGTTTTGTGACAGATAAATACAACGGCGACATTAATTACGACTCCATTAGCCAGATGAAATACTTAGAAATGATCTTTGATGAAACACTGCGTAAATACACTGTAGCGGGTGTACTATTTAGGAAGTCTTCGTCAAATTATACGTTTCAGGGTACAAATGTAATGATAGAAAAAAATACTCCCGTACTGATTTCGGTTAGTGGATTAACAGCAGATCATGAGTATTTTCCTGAACCTAATAAATTTGAACCTGATAACTTTTTGTCGCAGAATCTCAATAAATTGTCACAGTGTGTTTATTTGCCTTTTGGTGATGGACCGCGTAATTGTATCGGTAAGTATAATTAAACATTATTATTATCAGCATATTAATATTTCTACAGTTTGGACAAATTCCTTTCTTAAGGTTAGTGTGATGTATAATAGATAAGTATCAGCGGGTACTTATCATTAGCAATTTTATAAGTAGGTAGAACTATTTTTCAGGCATAAACGTTGCTCCTTTTGTCTACCTGTTTCTTTGTCGCTAAATATATGTTCGAGAGTAAAGACGCGTGTTTTATTAATTATATAGTCACGGACATAACAGTGGCGACGAGGATTAAAATAATGTCGATAGGCCGAATATGTGAATTCGATGTACGTTCGGACAATTGGAATATGTACGTGGAACGTCTGGAACAATATTTTGTAGTGAATGAAATACCGGAGACAAAACAGGTGCCTACACTTATCACAGTTATGGGAGCGGAGTGTTATGAACTACTAGTAAATTTGTGTACCCCTGCGAAGCCAACAAGCAAGTCGTTTAAACAATTAACGGATATTTTACAACAATATTTACAACCAAAACCTAGTATTTTATCAGAGAGGTACAAGTTTCGTCATCGGAAACAGAATAGTAATGAGACTATATCAGAATATGTGGCGGTATTAAAAAAAATGTCGAAGACTTGTGAATTCGGAAATTGGCTAGAAGAAAGTTTACGTGATCAGCTAGTCTGTGGAATCAGTAGCGAAACGATAAGACAGCGCCTATTTACGGAAGGAAAGATAGATTTCGGGAAGGCGTACGCGTTGGCAGTTAACATGGAAGCGGCAGAAAAGGATGCTGCGGCGGTCGAGGGCCGAGCATCCACATCGAGCGCCGACGTCGTGTCATGCCAGGCCGTGGCAACTACATGGCGTGGTAGCGAGAGCAAAGCGGCGCGAAGTGGCGGTGGCAGCAGCAGGGCTCGATTTTCACCGCGCGGGCGATATATGGGACGCGGGCAGCAAGCGGCAGCGCGGCATGCGCGAGGTACCCTCGCTTTTACCAGGACACAATGCCGCGCATGTGGTGAAAGCCACGATGAATCTCGGTGTCAGTTTTCACGCTATGTGTGCAGAGTGTGCAATAAACAAGGACACTTGCGTCGAGTCTGCCCTTATTTAACAGATCATCATAATGTCAATGTGACGATTCCGACACAGAAGGTTGACGTAGACAGTGGAGACAGCGATGAGGTAATGATTACAACAGTAAATCAAGTATCCATTTCACAGTGTAGTCCGATAATTATACCCCTTATTATAGACAATAAAAATATTAATATGGAAATTGATACTGGCAGTGCAGTTTCTTGTATAAGTACGAATTTATATTATAAATTATTTAAACACTTAGATATTAAAGAATCTAAATTAAAATTGAGGTACTACACGGGGGAGTTAATTCGACCCGTGGGAGTTATAAAACCCTTAGTTAGTTTCAATGGTGTCAATAAATATTTAAGTCTTTATGTGGTAGAAGATGCTAAAACCTCATTACTAGGTAGACAGTGGTTAATAGAATTGAAAATACAGCTGCCTAAATTTGAGAATATAAATAATGTATCGACTGTTGGTAATTCTTTTAACTTAGATGATTTTAGTTCCAGATACTGTAAAGTCTTTGCGGACGGATTGGGGCGATTTACGGGCGGTAAAGTGAGCATACACGTTCGCGAAGGGGTTCGACCCGTATTTATGCGTGCGCGTCCCGTAGCATACGCGCTGCGTGCGGGCGTCGAGAGCGCACTCGAGCAAATGGTGCGCGACGGCATTCTCACTCCCGTCAATCGCTCAGACTGGGCCACGCCCATCGTGCCTGTTGTCAAGAAGGACGGTAACATTAGGATTTGTGCGGATTACAAATTAACATTAAATAAAGTAATTGAAGTCGATCGCTACCCGTTGCCTAAGGTGGAAGATTTGTTAGCACGTTTGCACGGCGGCGAAAAATTTAGTAAGATTGATTTGTCTCAAGCTTACGCTCAATTTGAATTAGACGAATCAAAAAAATATACTGTAATAAATACACATAAGGGGTTATTCATGTATAATCGTTTAGTTTTCGGTCTGTCGTCGAGTCCTGGAATTTTTCAAAAACATTTGGAACAAATGTTTGCAGATATTCCTTACGTAGGAGTATTTTTGGACGATATTATTATTTCAGGGTCCGGAACTCGGGAACATATAAACAATTTACATAAAGTCTTTGATAGATTACAATCACACGGTCTCCGTGTTAAAAGAGAAAAGTGCTCATTTTTCGAGGAAAGTATCACATATTTAGGTCATGTAATTGATAAATATGGAGTGAGGACTTGTGAGGACAAAGTTAGGGCTATTGCTAATACCTCGGCCCCAATCAATGTTACGCAATTGCGCGCTTTTATAGGTATGGTAATGTATTATTCAAAGTTTATAAAAAATGTAAGTACTATAATGGCACCCTTGTACAATTTGTTGCGTACGAATGTCAAGTTTGTGTGGAATAATGAGTGTGAAACGGCGTTCACTTTAATTAAACGGCGATTATGTTCGAGTGAAGTGTTGGTTCACTATTCATTGGAACTGCCATTGATTTTGACCGCGGATGCCAGTAGTGTTGGTGTAGGGGCAGTTATCTCACACCAAACGCCGGACGGAGAACGACCAATAGCATACGCTTCACGATCGCTTACTGACGCTGAACGATCATATGCACAGATAGATAGGGAGGCTTTGGCTATTGTGTATGGAATAAGGAAATTTCACCAATATTTATATGGCCGTAAATTTACACTTAGAACCGACCATAAACCCTTGACATATATATTTGGGAGCAAAGTGGGCGTACCAGTTATGGCGGCATCCCGATTACAAAGGTGGGCCATCCTATTATCGGGATATAGTTATGACATAGAATACGTCACGTCGAATAAAAATTGTGCCGATGCACTTTCGCGGTTACCTTTAAGTAGTCAAAGCCATAGCGTATCCGAAGATGTAACTTATATTAATTTTGTCGAGCAATTTTTACCAATAACAAACCAGAATGTCAGGGCTGCCACTTCTAGAGATTCCGAACTGAGTCGAGTTTTGTTGTACGTTCAATCGGGCTGGGGAAATAAATGCGATGATGAAGGAATAAAACATTATTATAACAAGCGAAATGAGTTGTATATTGATCGAGGATGCCTTATGTGGGGTTATAGATTAGTTATACCTAAAAGTTTAAGGGGAGCTGTGTTAAAACAATTACATATAAGCCATATGGGTATTGTAAAGACAAAGTCTTTGGCTCGTAGTTATGTGTGGTGGCCCAATATAGATGCGGATTTAGAAACTGTCTGCAGGCAGTGCGAAACATGCGCAGCGGAGGCACAGGCACCGCCACGAGCGCCGCCCCAACCATGGCCGTATTACATTCAACCGTGGAGTAGGATTCATATAGATTTTTTAGGTCCATTAAATGGCAAAACTTACTTAATACTGGTCGATACAAGTTCAAAATGGATCGAAGTTTTTGAAATGTCTAGAACGAATGCATTATCTGTCATTAAGGCCCTGCGAACTACATTTGCGCGTTTCGGGCTGCCAACAGAAGTTGTGTCAGATCAGGGGCCACCGTTCACGAGTTGCGAATTTCAATCCTTTTTGAGGAATAATGGCATTCGACAATCTTTTTCACCTGCTTATCATCCCTCATCGAATGGTGCTGCAGAAAACGCCGTTAAACTCTGTAAGCGTACTATTAGAAAGGCCATTAGGGAATCATTAGACGTTGATGCCGCCTTACAGACGTTTTTATTAAGTTATAGGAACAGTATTCATAGCAGTACTGGTGATACGCCTGCTATGTTGCTACAGCGACGGCCTCTGCGCTCGCGACTCGATTTATTGCGTAGTGAGGACGCACGCGGGCAGAGTGTGGCGCGCGCGCAGGCTCACCAGCAACAGTACGCGGAAGGGGCGGGGGCGGCGCGCGTGTTCTCTCCCGGAGAAACTGTTTGGACGAAAGTTTTCACTGGTTCTGACAAGTGGCAGAAAGGCACAGTGGTAGCCGTCGAGGGCTCTCGCCGCTATTTAGTAGACAACGGTAGCGAACGACTGATACATAGACATATTGACCAAATTAAGCGTAGATCGAGAATGTCCGACGTTCCTTGTCCTCCTAATGTAATAAATGAAAGTATAGAACGTCAAAATGGGAGTGAGGAGGGCGTTGAGCGATCAGAGGTGAGCATAGACGTGGAGGCAAGTAACACTCCATCAGGAGACCGGTATGTGTCTCGACAGCGTTCACCAAATACTACCCCAGGTGAATCAAATGTACCCGACTCACCGTGTATACCCGCGAATCGCCCCAAACGAGAACGTAAGGCCGTACTGCGTTACGGCATAGATAACTGATGTCAATATGTGTATATACATAAGCTATTGTTATTGATTAAGTTGGGAGGTGTGATGTATAATAGATAAGTATCAGCGGGTACTTATCATTAGCAATTTTATAAGTAGGTAGAACTATTTTTCAGGCATAAACGTTGCTCCTTTTGTCTACCTGTTTCTTTGTCGCTAAATATATGTTCGAGAGTAAAGACGCGTGTTTTATTAATTATATAGTCACGGACATAACAGTTAGAATTAATTCTATCACACAACGTGACTTCTGAAGTATGGATAAGCTCAAGATATTAAATTTAGATCACCCATCCAATGCGATTTCGAAAGTTGTTTAATCTCCACAATCGTCGACCAAAGGCACAAATCATTACGCCATAACATGGATGATAATTCTGTACATATAATCATGTTGTTTATTTACAGTAAGTTGCTATCAGTTATTTGTGAGATATCAGTTGAAAGATAAAAATAAGATACGTATACTTAGTGTTAAATAAAGCCAGTATAAATGCATGTGACTAGAAAATATATGTATATAAAATATACGAAGAAAGTGATTAAAATAAAGATAAGTGATATAAACGTGAGTGCGATATTAACGTTAGATGATAAACAAAGATACATAGAGGACACTTATTATATATCATACTTAGCATCTTAACCAAGTTAATTAACGTAGTGTGATCAATCGTGTGTAATAGATTTTATTTTTAATGACACTACTTACTTCAAGAAAACTTATATATTATTATAATATACTCACGTTTGCCGGTGTGTCTAAATGTTGTGTTACTTTAGCTGTTTAAGATTATCATAATACAAGTGTTTTAGCTTCTTCATTTGGGATATGAGCTACACATAAAATGTTGTATTTTTTTATTTATTTATTGTATTATAATGGATAAGTTCGACATCATGATCTAACAGCAACATCTTTTTTACTATAAACATTTATTTATTTATTATTCTTGGAAAACCAACAGCTAAACAAACATGATAGATTTCAGCATAAAAAATATTAAGCCAATTATAGGTTTCCACATATAGAAATAGCTTAGATCTAATCAATGAATTCGCACACAAGCTACACAATCAAATAAGTAATCGTACATTGTTAGATCCTAGCAACAGTGTCGAAATTTTTCGATAGTAAACATTCTATCAGCAGTTCATTGACCTCTGCATTATAGTAATAATGTTAGTTATCAGTCAAGAGATAATGCCCCTTTATCGTCTACAGGTAGACGGTTTGCGAAGGTCATCACGTTGTTATGTATGGCTGCATTTATAAAGAAATTCAAAGTGGAACCAACAGCGAACACTAAAAGAGATTTGACATTCAATCCTAAAGGTATGATTTTGGTTTCGAATGAAGGAATATGGACCAAAATATCAAGAAGGGAAACATAAAGAACAAGAATTCATTAATAATGGTATAACTTTAATGATACGTCGTATGATTAATTTATGAGTATTTTGTAATAAATTTATGTTTCAACCATGATTTTGATTATGTTTTGTTTTAATTTATTGCATTTTTAATTTTCAATTTTATTATTTGTATAAACTAATTTGATTGTGAATACGAGGGTCAATGCTTGTAACAAATGATGATTATTATGTTTATGATTATTATTATGTTTATATACATATTTACTCTTCCCGACCCCTCGACAATTCGATTATTATTATTATTATAACGAATTATTGATAATTAATGAATAGATATCAATTTGTATTGTATATTAATTCTACGTTACATTTAAGTATTATTTATCCTTTCCAGTGAATTTTTAGTTTGACTCCATATAATGGTATACTCGTACTCAACACCTCTTTATAATGATAAGGCGATTAAGGTTAAATTAATATTTGTATTAAATATACAAATATTAATTTAACCTTAATCGCCTTTAGTAAATATACGGTGATTTACGGATGATAACTAACTTTTGTTTGTTTGTTTGTCCATAAGGTATATATAATATATTAAACACGTATCTAATTTTTTATTTTTTACGTAAGCAATACATTACGGCGATGTATTATCTTGAAATGTGACGACACACTTTTGTACACATTCTATGAAACTGTGACTTAGCGAGCCAACTTTAAATTAAATTAAGGCGCACTAAATCGAATTTATTTTTAATAACAACAACTCGATTAAATTTAGTTTAAATTCTATAAATTATTGTAAATAACTAATATTACAGATGCAAACTTATTATGTAGGATTATAATTACTTTACTTTGACTTCATACGACTAAGGGATAATGTTTAAAAAACCCGAATAAATAATGGATTATAAAGGGTTAAAATTACACATTATTAAGATAAATACGGTCACCAATTAGATATGATTAAAAAAAAATTCTAAAGATTTAGCTGCGATACTTTGTTTCTTTAAAAGTGGACTATACTTAAAAACTTCGTAATCAACAGATTTTATTGGATAGTTCAAAAATAAATTATAGTAAACTACTAGTCAAGTATATTACTCGTAATATTTTGGTTTATTTTTTCTACGAAATACACACAAGTAGAATATAGGTTAACAAAGTTTTTGTACCACAAATATCTTTATTAGAGACTACTGCTTAAGCCAAGCATTTCAAATGGCTGTACTTCAGGTTACCATGCTCACTAACTCTTAGACATATAGCACTAAATCGATAGCGTTAGAACAACGCCGTGTGATTTATAAATTAAAATTACTTATTTGTGTAATCAGTAAAAGGTAAAACTTATTTTCAGCATAGCTAGAAAAACATTTTACTATGTCTTAGTAGTTCAACCGGTTATAAAACAAAATATATATACTCTTTGCATTCGTTATTAATTTTCTAATAAAAGAAAAAAAATATCTACAATTTATCTGATTGTGTTTTTCAATGTGGCTGAGCTAAAAATATGAAGGTGCCATAATAAAGTAATTAAACTATTTACTACTGGTTATTGAAAATTTTACTTCGAGGTGTGTAACTGAAAATTTTACGACGTCACTTAATATTTTATGTTCTCACTAAATGCTCAACTTCATGAATACCGTGCTTCGTGTCAGAAAATATGAACTGCCAACATTAATAAATTAGGTAAGTTGAACCACTAATACCTTTCGAAACGTATATTTGGTATCAACTTAACTGTAAGTGTTATACGTCAAAGGTAAGTTTATGATGAGATGGTAACTTTTAATAAGGTTATAAAGCGGTCGTTCCTTAGCGGCTAGTATTAAGTTCATAGCCTTTACTAAAGATTCCGGGGTGTCTTTCCAATTTACTTAACGATGTTTCCATAATATTTTTTTCTACCTTGTATATAAAAATATAGATCAATATAAATAAAATTTTCATGATGTTTATTTTTTTTTGTATCTGTTTTGTTATTATTATAACAATATATTCATGTGAAATTCAAGAACTACTAGACAATTTTTTGTTTTTCAATGTAAATAAGAATAATATCATAAACAAACTGACCGGTTGAACTTCGTACTGTCATGTTTTCTTTCTCCAGTCGCGATCTGGTATATTTTTTTTAACAAATTTTCTTATATACAAACCTTGTCCTGACAATAAGGAACACATAAAAAATAATTCATTCAATTTGGTGCAGTTGTTCGGAAGTTATGCAGTTACATACATTTCGGTTCATATATAAATCGATGTCTTTCAGTTTCTTAAGTTGTCACAGTGACATTTTGTAGTAAGTAAGAAGAACCAATGATTATCAAAAAAATTTAAGTATCGTGAATGTAACATTGATCGTAATATAATAAAAAGTGTATATTGTTAAGTTTTTTATTGCCACGGTAACTTTTCAATATAAACCTTTGACACATTTATATTTTTATGGAATTTGGCGCCTGATTTGGCTAATATGTTTATACCTATTCATAATACAGTAGATTTTGTAACAGTTTATGTTTGAATTTAGAATAAAATTGTCAAAGTTACTCCCGGTATAATTCGGTAATGCCAAATTTAAAATACTGATGGGTTACTGACTTGTTCGTCTGTTAATGTGTCCATCCATCAGTCACAGCTAATTTGTTCCGAAACAAGTGGAACAAATAACTTACAAAAATGATTCAAGGACGGTTTGGACATAAACAAAATATATTTCAGGAAAACCTTTAAGAAGTTTATAGATTTTTTGTGCCCTATTGGGCCTAAGCTTGCTTTTCTGGAAGATTGACGTGAGATTGGTTAACACTGAGATTGACTACAACAACTTCTCACTAGTGAACTCCTCTTCCGACGTTTGGATCCAATAAACATAGTCAGTCATGCTGCCCTATTTTTAATAATGAAATTCCACTGAACTGTTTATATCATACTAGTGGACGCCCGCGACTTCGTCCGCGTGGAAGTCGGTATCCCGTGGGAGTGAGAAGTTTTCCCAGTAAAAAGTACCCTATGTGTTATTCTGATGTATAACCTATATTGCTGTAAAGTTTTATCCAAATCCGTCCAGTAGTTTTTTCGTGAAAGAGTAACAAACATCCATACATCCATACTTACAAACTTTCGCCTTTATAATATTAATAGGATAGATATACGTTGTAACGGTGTGCCATACCACCATTTATTTTTCCTAGGTAAAACTAGGTTTCCATGCAAACTTTTTGTCTTTGATATTCAACATCATTTCTTTTAATTATTGACCTTTCGTAATTTAAAATTTTGACTAATCAAATATACTCTTTATGGATGTCAGTTCGTAAAAAAATATCTGTTGTAACCACAGTCTGTTTTATGGTTGTAACATGTAAATCACGTATATTATAAATGTAAACATAAAATTTTATTAATAATTGTTAATAATAATGGATAATTCAAATAGGAATTATATAATTTAATAAAAGTGTATTCTGTTACTTGGACTTCAAGTTTTTATCAAGAAACCCAAAAAACGGGCATGTATTAGATTTATTTGGTAATTATATATTTAGTTTAACATATGAACTGTTTTTATATTCATTTTTCGTTTCATAAATAAATCCATTCTCAAGCTAGTCAGCCTTTCATTAATTGGCCCAAGCATCGAACCCTTCACAACGTAATATGTTAAAACCTCTAGAAAGTAGAAAGGAAATGGAAATTGAGACTAGTGACAAGATTTTACTACTAAGATATATTTATGCATAGCTCTACGTACTGAAACCGTCCTATTAATGTCCACAATGGGGCCCAGGATGGAATGGAATCACATCGAATAGGGCGAATGGGTTATGACCCACCACGCGGGCCCAGTACCCATTGGTGGGTGTTAACTGCGGTTGTAACAGTAGCAAACGGCTTAACGTGCTTTCCGAAGCATCATTAATATCACATATAAATATGACGGCGGGTAGTCAGAAGAGGCTATTACGAAGCCCAAATAGATCATCCATATCGGAGAACTATCTTTAAAATAACACTGCAGGCGTGTATACTAATGTGGATTTATTGCATTTTATCACTTTTTGTACGAAAATATAACGAGATGAGCGTGATGTCGTCGGATGTCTTTACTCCTCGGCGATCGGAAACAGAATGCATGCCAGAATGGAGGCAACTTGCTTTACATCAAAGAGAAAAATCTTTATATTAACGAACTGTCAAAGTCAGTGCTACCATTCTAATAAAATTAAACGTATCGACGATCACGCCATCTGTACAATCGAGAAATTAAGTAATCGAATAACTAATGATAAGAAAAAAAGAAACTAAATCAAACGATTTTTGTAAAGATGATGGAAATATTTTGCGACAAATATAATTTCATATCTGTCAAATTGTTGGACCCTTAGTAAAAGATGATGTGATTCATTCATTACCCATATTATAGTTATTATCATATCCAATATCACATTTAGTTAGAAAGTATTACTAAATGTATCTCTGAAGATATGAAAATATATTCAATTACATAGAAAATAATTAGATCCTTTAACGCTATTTAAGGATAGCGTTCTCACAGATGATAAAAGAACGGGCGTCATTGTACCTGAGTGCGTATGGCGTTAATTTGTTAAGAGTATTCTCGGCGTGATTCAAATTCGTTCTCCATATAATGCAATTAGGGAAATTGTCATTTTCAACAACTCGTGTTGAGTATTCACACATACTCAAATCTACACGTACATCATTTAAATATGAAAAAGTCAACGCAGTTTTTATAGGAATTATTAGAATAGAAATCGAGCGGTCCGCTTTAGATTGAACACAATATTCCTTCAATTTTTATAAAAAATATATATCTTTGATCGTATTAGTTATTTGTACTTTGTTTGTCTATTGAACATACAAAGTACAAAACAAGAAGCAACGAATACTATTTTTTGTGAAATTAGTAATGTCTCCACTGCTGGAACATAGGTTTTCCCTATGGATGGTGTAAAATAATCAGAACGGACCATGACCCACCACACAGGCCCAATGCCAGTGTTTACAATTGCGAATTCAGCGGGAATCAACGGTTTAGCGTATCGTCCAAAGCCCGGGTGAACTCGAAACACCAATTTTTGGT